CAACATAAAATGTTCTATCGTTGGTATTTGGAACCCTCAAGACTGGCTAAGATCTACCCAAATTTAAAACCAAACTGTTGGAAGTGCGGACTTGGTAGACATGCCCCAAAGCGAAAAAATACTGGAAACGTGGTTAGAAGAGTTAACTAAAAACAAAATTGATTTTGTCCCGGAATTATTCCTTTTAGGAATAATTTAAAAAAAACCTATAACAGAAAGACAAAATATCTTATATTACATTAACAGCAGCAAGAATTTCATATGTTCAGCACTGGAAGAAAAAACACCATACCACCTGAAAGCTTAATAATCCAAAAAAATTTTTAGAGTGTGTGGAAATGGATAAATTGACTATGGAATTAAAAAGGAAAGCAGACACAGGATACAACGCAGCATGGGAAACATGGTTTATTTGGATTGATAATAGATATAAGCATAGAAAATGTAAATAATGTATACAATAGATAAGAGGGTATGAAAGTATTGTGTATTGTAAGTTTTGGTAGGACGCATAAATGTATATCTAATGTCACAGCGCTGTTTAATAACTATTGGTATTATGTATAAATGGAAATTTAACTCAGTAAAGCATTATAAAAAAACAACAACAGTGGCCAGAAAGGGTTTCCCATGGAGGGGTGGGGGCAGAATTTACTGAACAGCTGTCTCTCATCCTGCGTCAAGAGAAAGTTCCGGGTTGCGGTTGTAATTCGGGGACCCCCCTGGTAAAAGGAGAAAGAGTTTCGGTGGGGGGGAAGGAAAAAAAAAGACAATATGGCCGTCTGTCTGAGCACGAACCATGTTCGGGCCTGTTGGCTTCGGGATGGGGGTGGCACTACCCTCCCACCGCCAAGAACGGGGGCCTTTTTTCTCCTCCTCTGCGGGCATCTGTTAGGCAGGGCTGCGCAAACCAGTCGGGCAACTCAGCCCAGCGCCAGGCTGCTTGCCCCAAATAAGCACATGCCAACATGAAAGGCAAGGCCCGTGCTGCCAACCGCCGGGCAAAATTCCAGCTGAGCCGGCTAGTCTGCTTAGTGGGCACTCGGCTGGGTTGGGTCTGCTTTTTCTCAGCCCTTCGGGAAAGGCGAGCTTTGCCACTTTTAAAAAGAAAAAGTAGGCCGCGTTTCCACAGATGGGTGTTGCAACCATGCCCGGAACAGGTTTATCCCGCCCAAAACCCGCCGTGCCAACTTTTCCCCCAGTGTGTCACAGGAGACCACACATAAGATCTGCCAGAGGGGGGAAAAAAGGGCACCATTGCCAAGTGCAGGAAGGATTCCTCAGGGAGGGTCGGTTCTTAGGAACGCCGTGCCTCTTCGGACACAGATAGATTTAACAGAATTTTTTTTTTAACAGATAATCAGAGTTGGAAGGGACCTTGTAGGTCATCTAGTCCAACCCCCTGCCCAAGCAGGAGAACCTATACCACTTCTGACACAGGGCAGTCCAGTCTCTTCTTGAAAGCCTTCAGGGATGAAGCTCCCACAACTTCCGAAGGCAACTTCTGTTCCATGGGTTGATTGTTCTCCCTGTAAGAAAGTTTCTCCCTATTTCCAGGTTGAATCTCTCCTTGGTCAGGGCTGTACAAGGCCAGGATCCTGGATGCTAAGATTAGGATTGCAAATCCAGAGAAGGCCTCAATTTAGCCATTCAGAAAAGACCCTGTAGGTCATCTAGTCCAGTGGTCGCCAACCTTTTGGACCTCAGGGGCCACCAAACTCATATTTTTAAATCCTGGGGACCACTAACCGGTTCTGTGGGTGTGGCCTAATTTATGGGTGTGGCTTGGTGGTCATGTGACTGGCTGGGCATGGCTTGCATGTAAATATTATAAATATTTATATATTGATTTTTTTTTTAAAAGAGCAACTTTTACCCAAAAACAGGCACAGCAGGCAGGGAGAATTGAGTTGCTCACAGAATTACAGATTTACTTAAGAGATCTGTGTTTCTGCCATCGGCTAGCTGAGTCTGCACTGCTTCAGTCCTAAGGAAGGTTTGGCTCTGCTTAAAAGCAGAGCCAAAGATCTAAAGATTAGCAAGAAAGCAAGAAATCCAACCATTTTCTGCTTTTTAGCTAATCTAAATCTCCTGGCACAGCAGAACAGCTGATGGTCAGAAAAAGGAAAAATAGCAACTTAGCAGGCAAGTTTGCCAGGTAAGGAGTGAGTGGGCAGGGAGGATTTCCATGGGCCATGTGGGCGGCGCAGCCTTGTGTTCCTGTGCAGCTTGGATTAATTGCTTTGGGGGGATGCTCTGGGGTTGAGATTTCTCTGCGGACGACCAAAATTTTCTCATGGACCACCAGCGGGCCACGGCCTACCAGTTGGCAACTGCTGATCTAGTCTAACCCCCCACCCAAGCAGGAGACCCTACCTCATTTCTAACAAATGGCAGTCCAATCTCTTCTTGAAAGCCTCCAGTGATGAAGCTTCCACAACTTCCGAAGGCAACTTCTGTTCCATTGATTGTTCTCCCTGTCAGAAAATTCCTCCTTATTTCCAGGTTGAATCTCTCCGTGTTCAGTTTCCATCCATTATTCCTTGTCTGGCCTACAGGCGCTTTAGAATAGCTTGACCCCTTCCTCTCTGTGGCAGCCCCTCAAATATTGGAAGACCGTTATCCTGTCTCCCCTGGTCCTTCTCTTCCCTAAACTAGCCAGGCCCAGTTCCTGCAACCGTTCTTTATATGTTTTAGCCTCCATTCCCCTCATCATCCTGGTTGCTCTTCTCTGTACTTTTTCTAGAGTCTCAATATCTTTTTTATGCTGTGGTGATCAAAACTGGATACAGGACTCTAGATGTGGCCTTGCGAAGGCTTTATAACACACCTGACACACGTGTGTTCAGGCTGGAGACGGATGTGCAAGGCAGACGTGGGCGTCACATTAAGCTTATAAAGGGGATTTCGCTTGGTGGGGGGAGGTGTTTCGAGGCTTAAAGGGGTCAGGTTGCCGGCCGATTGGAGTTGATGGAACAAACCATGGTTTGGTCAGGCAGACTGTGCCCAAACCAGGTTATAGTCAGATTCATCTACAGTACGGATATAGCCCAAAGTTTGGGGTGCTCAGCGATGACATAGTTGTTAAGTGAATTTTGCAGTTGATGGAACAAACCATGGTTAGGTCAGGTAGACTGCGCCTGAACCAAGTTATAGTCAGATTTATCTGTGGCTCGGATAACCCAAAATTTAGGATGCTCAGCGAAGACCAGTTGTTAAGTGAATTTTGCAGCTGGTTGAACAAACCATGGTTAGGTTAGGCAGACTGCGCCCAGTCGTTAAGTGGATTTTGTCCCCTGGCCCAACAGAATTTGCATTGTTTCTATGGACTTACAAATAGCATTGGAGCTTCGGATAGGACACCTATAGTGGCAAATAATTATCAATAAGAGAGCCCTTGACGTAGAACAACAACGATGCCCAGAGTTGTTAAGCAAGATGGTTGTTAAGCGAATTTTGCCCCATTGTGTGACCTTTCTTGGCACCATCGTTAAGTGAATCATAGCCAAGTTGCCAAGCGTCCAAATTTTGGTAACACAGATGCTGCAATGGTCAAGGGGAAAATTGGTCATCGGTCCCTTTTATTTACAGGGCCCTGTTTAACGTTGAACGGCCACTCATTGAACGGTTGTAAGTTGAGGATTACTGTATTAGTGGAACTGGAACGTCGCGTGTTTACAGGACTTCTTAAGAGAGAATTACGGTGTCTGTGGCACCAGTATAGTTGGCTGATCCCAGATAAACTAAGAATAATAGCTGGTGTTTATTGTAGGTATGAGGAGCCGGTTCGTTCATGGAGGCTCAAACTTGGCTCGCCCAAATCTGCCACTAAACCAACTTCGTGAATCAGAAAACCTCCAAATTAAGACTAGAATAGAGCTCGGAAGGGACCATAGAGGTCTTCTAGTCCAACCCTGTTCAGGCAGGAGACCCTATATCCCATGTCAGACAAATGGCTGTCCAGTCTCTTCTTAAAAACTTCCAGCGATGGGGCATTCAAAACTTCAGGTGGCAGGCTGTTCCCATGGTTAATTGTCCTCACAGTCAGGAAGTTTCTCCTTAACACTAGTGCAGGGGAGGCTGGACTAGAAGACCTCCAAGGTCCCTTCAGGCTCTATTCAGATTGATTGATTGGTTCTTAAGAAGAGACTGGACGGCCACTTGTCTGGAATGGGATAGGACCGTGATGGCGAACCTAGAGCCATTTCCCCCGGCAAGCAATAGATCACCCGGAAGAGCCCTACTGCGCAGGCGCGTGCATCGCTGCCACCCGACAGCATTAACATATGTAAGTACTTAATAAGCAGTCTATTGTCTGGGTCAAATTACAAATATATACCGTGTTTCCCCGAAAATAAGACCAGGTCTTTATATTAATTTTTGCTCCAAAAGACACATTACGGCTTATTTCTCCAGTTAGGTCTTATTTTCAGGGAAATACGACACCAAATGCGTCCAACTGGCTGACAGTCCTCTTAACTGGGGCTTATTTTGTGGGTAGGGCTCATATTACAAGCATCCTGAAAAAAAGCATGCTAGGGTTTATTTTCTGGTTGGGTCTTATTTTCGGGAAAACAGTAGAAAGACAGAAAGCTGACAGGAGGGGTGGGGAACCCCGTAGTCTATCAAGTCTGCTATTTGAGTTTATCTGCATTCTGTATTTTTTTTTTTTTTCATTAAATTACTTTTCTACTATTTTTATATTTTTTTAAAAAAAGAAAAATTGCCCAGAGGATGGACACGAGGGAAACAACACAAGCATTTTTTCGTCTCTGAATCTCTTCCGGTTTCTCCGAAACGGGAGACAAATGCAGATTTTTCTGCCCGTCTCCAGGTAGCCAGTTGACCTAGTCCTCGACTTAACGACTGTTCATTTAGTGACCGTTCAAAGTTACAATGGCCCTGAAAACAAAGGGACTTAACAACTGTTTTCACGCTAGCAACATCCCCGTGGTCACATGATCCAAATTCAGAGCCTGGGCAAACCGACTCATACTTACGACGGCTGCGGCGTCCCATGATCCCTTCTTTTAATGACCTTCTGATCAGCGATGGGGAGAAAAGCCAGCTTAACTTAACAACCGCGAGGCTAGCTTAACCGCTGCGGGGATTCGCTTAACAACAGTGTCAGGAAAGGTCATAAAACGGAGCAGAACTCACCGAGCCTATGCCTGACTCGGCAACGAAATGTTTGGGCTCGCTTTGGTCGTAAGGCAAGGACTTACCGGTGTTTGGCAGGGGACTGGGAATTTTAACTGGATTTGTTTACACAGCCGAATGCGCTACCTAGCCATTACTACCAGGAGGAAGATGGTGGTTTGTTGTTGTGAGTAGCCAGGCCGGATTCTTTTCCCACTCACAGGCAGGGCTGAGCAGGAAGTCCTATTTTACAACCAGCCAGGGAAGCTGGCAAACTCGGTGGATCCAATTCCAAGCAAATAATTATGCTAAGCCAGGAGTTTCACAATTGTGCCAGCTTTCAAGTCCGCCCATCTTCAAGTTGTCAAGGTGGAGAAACTCTGTGCCAACCTCTTTACTATGGGTTTAACCCCAGCGTGGCCGCTCGTTCTCCTAAGGAGAATAAGTGCTCTTATTACTTTTATTTTTTCCTATCGCTTTTTGTTCAACTGTGTCACAGGCCGAGCCCCGCTTGATAAAAGGGATCGAGTCTGATACGTTACGATAGCAGGAAAAAACAGCAAAAGAGTCGAAGGAATGAGGACAAAAGCAGAAGAAACAATAACAATAACAAGGAGGAAGAGGAGGAGAAGGGGAAGGAGGAGGGAGGAGAAGAAAAAGGAGGGGAGGAGAAGGAGGCAGAGGAGGAGGAAGAGAGGAAGAGGAAGGAGGAGGAGAGGGGGAGGAGGAGAGGAGGGAGGAGGAGGAGAAAAAGGAGGAGAAGGAGAAGGGGAAGGAGGAGAGGAGAAGGAGAAAAAGGAGAAGGGGAAGAGGAAGAGGAAGGAGAAAAAGGAGGGGAGGAGAAGGAGGCAGAGAAGAGGAGCAGGAGGAGAAAGAGAAAGAGGAGGGGGAGGAGAAGGAGAAGGAGAAGGAGAAGAGGAAGAGGAAGAGGAAGAGGA